CCTTCCTCTGCAATCTCCCCACTTAGATCAGAGGTCTTCAAACTTTGGCCACTTTAAGACTTGGGGACTTCAACTCCCAGAATTCCCCAGCCAGCATAACTGACTCTCTTGTCATCCCTTCCTCTGCAATCTCCCCACTTAGATCAGAGGTCTTCAAACTTTGGCCACTTTAAGACTTGGGGACTTCAACTCCCAGAATTCCCCAGCCAGCATAACTGACTCTCTTGTCATCCCTTCCTCTGCAATCTCCCCACTTAGATCAGAGGTCTTCAAACTTTGGCCACGTTAAGACTTGGGGACTTCAACTCCCAGAATTCCCCAGCCAGCATAACTGACTCTCTTGTCATCCCTTCCTCTGCAATCTCCCCACTTAGATCAGAGGTCTTCAAACTTTGGCCACTTTAAGACTTGGGGACTTCAACTCCCAGAATTCCCCAGCCAGCATAACTGACTCTCTTGTCATCCCTTCCTCTGCAATCTCCCCACTTAGATCAGAGGCCTTCAAACTTTGGCCACTTTAAGACTCGTGGACTTCAACTCCCAGAATTCCCCAGCCAGCATAACTGACTCTCTTGTCATCCCTTCCTCTGCAATCTCCCCACTTAGATCAGAGGTCCCCAAACTTGGCAAATTTGGTATTCAAACTTGGAATTCTGGGAGTGGAAGTCCACAAGTCTTAAAGCTGCCAAGGTTGGGGACCCTTGTTGTTGTAGACAACCTGCTCTGTTTTCATCTCTCCTCTGGAAGGCTATTCATGCAATCATCTGCCCCTTTCTGGAAGATCAGAACAAGGCTTAGATTTGATATTCAATTAAGCCTGGCTTATTTGATAAGTCAATAAATAACGCGGTCACGTCAAGCCATTCAGCCCAAATCAAAACGAACCACATCCTGCCTTCAACCATGTTTACTAGGCCTGGAGCGTGAGTAGCATCAACACCACCGCAGAGGACCCAAGAGAACTGGGGCGAGCAGAAACACAGGCGTGACATGGAAAGCTGAGAAGATGTCTCTGGCATGGACCTCGTCTAAAAATATCCTGCAGCCGATCGTCAAAGCGGCTTCCAGGTTGCTCCTCAGGCAGATGGTTGTTAAGAAGGATCAGAGCCACATTGATCTTATTCTGGCAGCTGAAAAAAATCAGCCGTGTGCTGGGAAAAAGAATTGAGCCAGAAGCTGGTAAGATGTCTTGGAGGATAAGAGGAGGGTCAAAGCCTCCTGTTTACATGTTCCCTTGGATGAAAAGAATTATGTGTTTCCTGCATTGATTAAATCATAAGGAAATATGGGAGCTGCCAGGACGTCTCTCTGTGCCAAGGAACTAGCAAGCTCGTCAACCCTTGAGGATATCAAACTAATTCTCGACATGGGAAGCAATCCAAAATATACCAGCTAAGGACATGTAACGCTTGGCTTTTGCCCAGATTTCTAAGCTAATCATCCACCACGTTAAAGGTAAAGGTTCCCCTTGCACATATGTGCCAGTCGTTCCCGGGGGCGGTGCTCATCTCTGTTTCAAAGCCCAAGAGCCAGCGCTGTCCGAAGACGTCTCCGTGGTCATGTGGCCGGCATGACTTATTGCCAAAGGTGCACGGAGCCCTCTTACCTTCGCACCAAAGGTGGTTCCCATTTTTCTACTCGCATTTTTTACCTGCTTTCGAACTGCTAGGTTGACAGAAGGTGAGACAAGTCACGGGAGCTCACTCCGTTACGCGGCGCTAGGGATTCGAACCGCCGAACTGCCGACCTTTCTGATCGACAAGCTGAGCGTCTTAGCCACTGAGCCAGAAATAATTATTTCTCACTCCTGGACACGTGTAGTCTTCCATTCCGCTGTTGGTGTGTTCACAGGTACGTGATTGGTGTAAAAGGGCCCGAAGTAACACAACTCAGATTATTTGCACTGTACGTGTTGTGAGTCTGGCCAGGGTCAACATTTGGAAACACCGACGTGAGGAGCACGCTGACAGTGCCTCTCTGTATTCTATGCTCACATTTTGTGGGGGGGGGAAAAATCTATTTTAGACCATTAAATAAGATTAACTCAGTCCATGTCTGCTTCAGGATGTTAAGATATTTACAGTTTCCACCAGCTGGGGAGAAAATAAAAAACCCATCCTTGCTTAAACACACAGCTGTACGAGAAATTTAAACCAAGGTGCCAACTAGAGGCACATACTACATTCAATGATCTTCTTGTTCTGGTTTTTTTTCCCCCTCCTATTTTTTAAAAAAAATCTAAGCTCAAAGATTCATCTGGGAGGTTTTATATACGTGCAGGAGGAGGTTGAATGATCTGCCAGGAAAATCCTTGACGCCAACCAGCCAGGAGAAGCTACTTACGAATTTTTACAACTGCTTTTCTGAGGAACGGAGGATGAGAGGAGAGTCGATCCTTATCCCAGATCTCAGGTCTTGATTATTTGTTTGTTAAATTTCTATTATTCGATGAGTGGAGAGAGCCCCCTTGTGGAGTACTGTGGAGCCATTACCATAGCAACTCCACTGTGCTGTACAGTAGAAGCCATTTGAAGGCACAACAGGCTGTATCTTAAGCAAACACACACCCCAAGGGGTGTTAGGGGTGTCTTTTTTTTTAAAACATATTTTTAAACATATTTTTCTCATTCCCGCCGTTGCAAAAGAATTTCCTTCCTTCAACATTTCCCCTCTGCCTGCTGTTTCGACTCTAGATATTCAAGATACAGGTACCTTTTTAGCACTTTCCGGTCCGGCTTCGTCAAAACGAAAACGGACAATCCGAAAGTCCTTGCAGTAAATGATCAATTCCGTTGGGTTAAACTTCAGCTTCTGGTTGGGGCCCAGGACTTTCTGCTTCCTCTTGGTATCGTTCACTGCGGAGAAAAGGAGGGAAGAGGCGCGAGGGATCGTAACTTTCCTTTAAAACCAAAACATATCAAGCTCATGCTTGATAAAGTCTGTTAATATGGGTTTTTGTTTCTGCAATTTATCCATTTCTGCACTCAGTTCCTAACCAGCAGAGCGTTTTAGTAACTCACTAACCGATAACTTGGCGTTGCCTGGGTATTTATTTATAGGGGGAAAATATCCAGACCAAACGTAATTTCTAATGTTGGATTTTCTCCCTTACCAGAGGGAGCCCCCTTGTGGAGTACTGAGGAACCGTTACCATAGCAACTCCACTGTGAT